TAATAATGCGCAGTAAAATATACCTCATGAGTGCAGAGTTGGAAAGCCCTGCTGGAATTATATAAATTAATGTCGCAGGTAAATTTAAAACTCAATTCAAATATTCTCTGTTCAAATTATTTTGAATTATCATTTTTCATTTTTAAAAGAAAATAGTTTTGAAAATCTGTTTTAAACAATATTATTTGGTGCTTTTGTTTCAGTGCAAAAGACAATTTTAAACCCAATGTTGACTTTTGCGATGACTTTTTGATGACCTTTCGTAGAAAGTCTTTAAATAAGTACATAAATTATGCTTCAAAATTGTTTTAATATTATTCAGAGAAAGCGTTTAGATCAGAATAAGCTTTTCAAATTAATTAATTAATATAAATTTTGTGGTTTGTGCAGAAACACAAATAAAAAAAATTAAAATTTGAAAAAGACAAATATTCTTTTGAAATAAAATTATTGATTTTTTTTATATTTGCCAATTTTTGATCAAATTTTGTTGCGTTGAAAGAATGTTCTTTTCAATGTACCATAATAATTACAAACAATTAAAGGTTTTTATTAATTTAAGAGAATAAATTTTATTCTAACGCAATTTTAGTTATATTAGTACGTCTCACTCTGGAGTGACAAATTGCCGCGGTCTTTTGGCTTTTCTCGAACAAGGAAATATCAGCAAGAGACGTGCTTGTCCTGCTTTCATATCAATCCAACAAAGGCTATTTTTATCATCGGCGTTTATCAAAAGTCTTATTGTGTCGAAAATGTTCACTCAAAGTTGAGTGAACATTGGCGTTTTCGGCCGAGTGGCCGCAGCCAGAATTGCACTTTCGTATGCGATGCAACCGAGACATGCTTTACGATTTCATGTGCACATGGCTGCGTGCACAATGTAAACAGCAGCACAAGATTTTTCGCGCGCTGCACTTCAGCGCACGTTGCTCGCGACGACGAACAGGAAACACGTTCGAAAATCACAGCGCGACACACACGAAAATCCGTCGTCAAAACCGCAAAGTTTTCTAATGTGCATCAAGTGCGCAACTCGTAATGAGCAAAAAAACTAGGCCAATCAGAAAGGATGAAAAAATATAACAAGCGTCTGTCGAAAAAAATTCAAATCAACAAATTTTTTATTTTAATCATCGAAATAAAAATAATTACAATTTAAGAAAATTATTTTCTATTTATATTTGAATTTCCTGTTGGGGATTTTTTCGACTTAATTTTGTAGGCTGAGGCATGTTTTTTTAATTTTTTTTAAAAGTCTGCTCTGCCAAATGAATTGAAGAGCTAAAAATAAGCGTGCGTAATTAGACGGCTTGAAAATGTTGGAAAAATCTTGCACGATAATTAATTATTCAAAGAATCACGCGCGTGTGATTTTTTTCCCCACTGGCGCGCGTTTCATTTATTTTTTCCAGAAAGATGTGCAAGTCATTAGAGCAAACATAATTTAAAGAGCGAAATGAAATATCACTGTTTAAAATGGAATGGTCGATTTTACGTATCTGTGGTGCAAACTATTGTTCTGGCGTATGCCGTAAAAGTACGTCTCTTCTCAAGAAGGGATTTTACCTGAGCGCCCGCACTTTTCCGCCTCCCCTCCCGTAGATGCATTTTACGGATTTGTTACAGAAAATTTCTCCCTTCGCACAGAATATTACGTACTGTGTCCGTATTTTTGTTTTACTTCTTTCATACGTAATTTTATGGTAGTTTTACAGAAAATCACAAAATTTATTTTTGCTATAAATGGCTACTTTTATTTAAAATAAATTAGTAATCACGGATTTACAGAGAACTCACATGAAGTAAAAATTAATATTGAGGTAGATGAAACTCTTGACGTAGTCTTTATCAGATATTCCTTTTCGATTCGTATCTTGCGTTGATGAAAACACTGTCTGAAAAATAAAAATAAATTTTTTTTAGCAAACATTGATGAGAAATCTCTGTATAAAATACCTTTTGCGCATTGCGAACAGAACTTCCATTGACGAGGGACTAGTTTATTCCAAAAGTGCTCACTTCAAATCCAATCTAAAAAAATAATAATAATAATAATAATGTGCATAAATTTTAGCTGTGCGTAATTTTTTGATATTAAATAAACGTATTTTCTTGAAATAAAAATGATGAATCCAAACTTACATTTTTAAAGTACTCGCGGAGGCCTCCAACTGGAAATACAGCGGCTTCGCTCCAAAATATTCCTAATTTTAGGAGATGTTGTGCCCGATGCAGCAGATGCAGCAAAGAGGAGTTCTCTTTGTGGCGAAAGACGCTTAACTGATTGCAGCCGAGGCGCGAGGGTTGAATTTTGTCAGTTGCTGGCGTGGGTGATGACGTTTTCAGCCTCTCTCCCTATTCTCTCCTGAGCTTTCCTCCCCTAACATACATGCACTCAGGTAAAAGTCCGAAAGTGAGACGTAAAATTACGGATCTGTTACAGAGACTTGCGCTACATCCCAAATACGTAAAATCGCATATCAATTTCATCCGTAAAAGTATTTTACGACGCAAAGTACAGAAAATTACGTCTGTCCGTACTATTTTTACTTCGTTTCTGCCGTGACACGGACGTAATTTTCCGATTTTTTTTGACAGTGATCAGTCGACGGCGGCGGCGGCTCCGTATTCAAATTAATACGCGCAGATGTGGCCGAAAAAAGACTGGCCCAGAGACGCGCATTTGTTTGTCGCGGCGCGGCGGCGGCACAAAAAATTGGATACAGACTGATGGTGTGGATGAAGCTCATTTCCTTTCAGAAATTTTTTACTCTCCATTCAGCATCATTGGAATTAACCGAGAGAGAGAAACAAGGGGAGCCGGCGAGTTTTTTTCCCTTTCGAATGAGACGTTTTATTTTTGGACCAAGAAACCCTAAATGTTGAGCGCAGAGAGTAGCGGTGACTCGCAGGAAACTTTGAACAACTCTTTGTTGACACTCTCTTTATATTAATATTCTTCTTCTTCTTCTCCGAGCCGTCGCCACAACTTAAGTTTTATTGAGCTTAACAAATTTATCGCGCAGAATGGGATTTTATTTTGAGGCGAAACAGCCTTCCTGGCATTTCCGCTCAAACGAGCCTTCTTTAATTCAACGCGATTGCGGACTCACTTGATTCCTTTTAATGATTTCTCCACGTCTAATTACTTTGTTTACTATAAAAGAAGAGCAAGGCTTGAAAATGCTCCTCTTGTTGAATTGTTTATTGTTTAATTAGATCTGTTGAAAGTTTTAACCCGCAATTCTTAACATTAATTTCAATGGTTTTATAACTCAATTTAAGAAATAAATAAGAATGTAATTAGTTTTAATTATATGAGTCGATATGGAATACAAAAATTTGCATTTTTTTTTTAAAAATTAAAAAAAAATGGAAAACTTATCAATTGTGGTGATTTTTTTAGTAGTCAATTTTTTATTTTTAATTAGATCTTTTGAAAATTTTTTAGAGGAATTCTTACATTATAAATTGCAATGTTTTTACAACTTAGAATACGAATTAATTTTAATTGGTTTTAACTATATTTAGTCGATTATGAATATGAATTTTTTATAGATTTTTTACTAATTTGAAAACTTATCAATTTCGGTTCATTTTTAGTTGAATTTTTAATGTTTAATTAGATCTCTTGACGGTTTTAAGGATAAACTTTACATAACTTTCAATGGTTTTACAACTCTATTTAAGAAATAAACAAGAATGTAATTATGAGTAAATTTTGATTTGGGAACTTTTCAGTTTTGTGGTAAATTCATAATTAATTTGAAACTTATCAAATACTTTTAGTTGAATTTTTTATGTTTAATTACATCTGTTGAAAGTTTTTAACAGCAATTCTTACATTAATTTAAATGCTTTTAAAACTTGCTCAAAGAAATGAGTAAATAAGAATTAAATTTAACTAATATTTATTACTTTTATATATGCAAGTCAATTTTGAGAACAAAAATTTTCAGTTTATTTAAGGAAATGTAACACTTGTGGTTAATTTTTAGTTGAATTTTTAATGTTTCATTAGACCTGTTGAGAGATTTTAAAGACTAATGTTAAATTAATTTCAATGATTTTGATACTCTGTTGAATATATAAATAAGAATGGAATTAATTATATTCTATTCTTTAAATTTTATGAGTCAATTTTGGATACAAAAATGTGCAGTTTTTGAACGTTAAAATTATTTTGAAAAATACATTGTGCTTAATTTTAATACAATGTAAATAAAATTAATTCTAAAATTAATTTTCTTCTCATGGAGCTTGTACATGCTCCATAAAAAGATTCATTTTGAATTAATTAAAAAGCGCAAGGCTGGAAACACTAATTTTGAGCAATATTGAAGAGAGCTCTGAGTATTTCCCCATTTGGATTTCCGGACTCTCTTTATTTCTATAGAGCATTATTATTTGTAAAAGGAGACAAGGTCGTCATTCACTCTCAACTGCAACTTTTGTATATCTTTCCACTTTATTATGCTGAACGTGCTGCGCCTAATTGTTTTATAATTGCATTAACACTCTCTCTGCGTCGAATGCGTGCAACACAATGAGCTTCTTTTCTTACAAATTATATATCAAACTCATTAACTGCAGCTGAATAATATTAAAACATATGCGATGATGATTTTCCAAAAGCCGCGAAAAGAATTAAACTAATTTTGAATATGAAAAACTAAAAAAATTCAATTATACAAAATTGTTACGAGCTGCCGGGTAATTATTTTGCTATCTTCACTCACCTGAAGCATAAAAGTAAGAAAGAAATAATTATATCGCCCCTTGCTGTGCTCGTAATGGCAATTAAATTATGCGCCTTTGTGCGCCGCAAATGTAATAATTTATGCATGCATTATTCTCAACCGTAATTTCAATTTCTGCGAACGTAATTGCTCTCTAGATTTCATCTTTTTTGCATAATGACCGATCACGAGTCATTAATATTTTGCAACCGATTTGTGTGTGTGTGTTTGTCAATAAAACCCTTTTTTGTGTTGCAGGGACGAGGACGGAAGCGAGCCAAGTTTTACAACAATCGCGATGGCAATCTGTGGCCCATTGATGGTTCAGGAGAGGTGAGTGTGCCAAAAAGCAAAAAATTTAGAGTTTTGAGGATTATTTTTGGCTCCCGAAAGACACGCGCGCTTCTAATTTCTAATCCGTTTCGGGAACGTGAAAATTTTTATGAAATTTTTTTCAGTTATATATGAATCATTTATTCATAATTGCCTTTTTGAAGACTCTGCTTTTAATTGAGAATTTGAATAATGAGTGCAATATTCAAAATTTAATTGGGTATTCAATTTTATGACCGGACGTCTAATTAGGATGATTGAAAGGCGTTGAAATCGCAGGCAAAATTTTAATTTTTTTGAACCAAAATGTGCGACGGAGTGTGACGCGAAATTATAGATTTATTTTGAGTCTGGCGAAAAACGTAAAAACGTCAGTGCAATTTGCACGGCCCGCGTTGACGAATGTGTTTTTTTTTTCGTGCTTTCGCCGAACGTCCTCTAACGCACAAGCAAAGGGGGCAGTAAAATCATAACTGGAGCAAATCAAGCCATTAACAAAATCGTAAAACGCGCGCGCTCAGAAAATTTAAGAAGTCATTTCGGCCGCGCTCCTTTTTTGCGCTCAACCTTCACCGCAGTCATAATAAGACCTTTACAGTACGATTAAATAACGCGAAAGGCTGCTGCCCCCCCCCCCCACCCCACCCCTCTAGGCTAAAATCTACACACAACAGGTAGCAAGGCTAAGTCTAATGTATTCCCACCTCTCACCGCTCGCTCGCTCGCTCGGCCCCTGCAACTTTTGGAATATACAAAAAAAAAATCTCGCTATTCATTGTGCGCCGCGTCTCAAGTGCGAATAACTCAAGTCAACACCACGTTTTTATTTATTTATTTATTTCCATTCATAGCAATAATAAGAAAGAGATGCTGAGTTGTGTGGGCGGACTATTATTATTTCCGTAACCTTTGCCACAATCAAAAGAACCTCTGACAAAAAAGCCCCAGCTGGCGGCCGCGGATCTAAACCTCTTCTTTTTTTTTAATAAAATTATTTCGAACGTTTCACTTCAACGGTTAATTTGCGTGCTAATTAATCGAGTGTACATTTTTTTCTCCTTCGCTTGGAGGAAAGAAAAAATACTGCAATTTCGCCTGAGGATGATTGATTCAGCCGCGCTCGTTTTTGTCCGACTAATGTCTCGTGCGGGCAAAAATCCTGCAGCTTTCGTCGGCAGTGATAAATTAGTTTCAAATTAATTTTTCTCCTTTTAATTAATCAATACGTACGCCAAGGAGAACGATTTGCAAATTAGCATTCACTTTTTTGCTCTCGGTGTTCAAATTGGATGACGAATTGCAAATTCACAGTTTGTTTGAGAGATTAAAATTGAGAGTTTATTTTCAATTTTAAATTAAAATATTTCTTAAAATTCTAACCAAAATATCAAATTTTATTATATTTTTACTGAATAGAAGTACTTTTATTAACCAATTCATCAAATTTTATCTTCAAATTTATTATGTGGTTTGCTTTTAGGCCAAAATGTCATGAACGTAAATTAAGGAGAGATATAATTTACAATCGTTATGGCTTAATTACCGATTTTTAAGTCTGGCGCATCTGCTATTTTTTTGCCTTTTTAGCTTCTTGAACTTTGCGCGCGTACGTTCGATTTCATGGCTCGTGAATAAATAATTTAAGCAGCAACAGGTGACCGGCTCGGCCTGCGCAGAACTGGTACTTATCTCGGCTCAGCATCCTAAATTTTATCTCCGCGCGTGTAACGGCAAAATAATAAATTTGCATTTGACTCTCTGCTGTGCCGTCCTATTGAAGCAAAGAGGGCAATAAATCTCTCTCTCCGCCGAAATAAGATGAAAGAGATTTAATAAACGCAGAATTCGGGCGAACTGCGCGATTTCCGGACCTGCTTTGTTGACTCAGAAATAATCAGCAGCCGCGAATACAATAATGAGCGCGGCCCGACCGGCCCTGGGCGAGTTGGGCTTTTTCTTCACTGCGCGGCCAGCCAGGGCAACTTGTTAACCTGTAATTTATTCACCTCGTGAGCAACTTAAAACTTGCGCTGGACACGCTGATGCAGGAGAAAGGTGCGCTCGATCACCTCTTTCTATCTTATTCAAATAAAAATAAATTCTCGGAAACTAACTTTGCACAAAAATTCGAAAGGCGAAATTTCTGCCGAGATCATTATCTCTCCATCAGTCCAAGAATGTCAGAGAGAGAGAGGAATGTTTTATTTCTAAATCTCGATAGAAAAGATAAGTTTTTATTCCATAACAGTTCTTATAACAAATTATTAAAATTTAAAATTTACAATTGAAAAACTCATTATGTTTTGACTGTTAAATAAAATTTCTCTTATTTTCCTTAAAACTTCGGTTTTATTTTGTTCTAGCTGATGAAATTAATGCAAATCCGGGCGAATAAATTTGTCACGAGAGCGAATATATCAATTGCCAAGAAAAGGCCAAGGAACATCTTCTCGTACTCGTCCTTTTGCGCGCAAATTCTATTCGAGTATAGCCGAATTTTCTCTCTTTGCTCTTTCTTTCTCCTGCTGGCACCGAACAAAAGGAATGTCCTGGTGTGCGATCGAGCTGAGCAACCGAAAGAAAACCAGTCTTTCTTTTTCTCTCTCTCTGCAACTCGCTTCCCTTGGACCATTGCCTTGCTCCGAGGCACACGTGGTCGATTCGCCCTGCGTTGCCAATTTACGCGTTGACCACTCTTTCGGGACCCTGAGCAGGTCACGGAACAATTATTTCAAAGGAACTGACCTGAATTCGTCTCAAATCCTCTGACACGTCTTGCCAGGGTGACAAATCTCGGTATTGTGTGTCAAACGAGATGAAAAGAAGCAAAACATATAAAGACGGAGGTGCGAGAATAATGAAATCAAATTCCAGCCGATTTGATCTCGACGCGAATGAAGAGAAAAATCGTAGCCCTCGGGCCGGCGTGACCTTGCCTCGGTATTATTATTATTATTTGAATTCGGTTGCGTGCTCGCGACCATAAGGGCGTTTTTATACTTTTCTCTCTTTCAAACCAAACTAGATTTGCAGGCGCGTCGAAAAAATGAAGAAGCTGAATTCGGAGAAATCAAAACGAAATAAATCATCAGGGCATTTTGAAAAATGAATAAGCCTGAGTAATTGTCGATCGACGCAGGGCCCGAAAGGGTTCGCTCGGAGAATAAAAGACGCTCATCAACTTTGTAATAACAAAGAGGCAAGAAAGAAAAGTTGGTCCGCGCCCAACCTTCTCTCCCAATACCTGAAACGTACCCTGATTCAGGGAGATAGATTACCTGGCGAGACCTTTTTCTGATCATCAACGAGGGGAGGCTTTCGTGATTTTATTTTATTTTGTGTACCGACCCGAAGCGAACGCGCACCCATCGCAGAGCTGCAGGGATGAATGCAACGACGAGAAAGACAGATTTCATCTCTCGCTCCTTTTACAGAGCGTGCATGTTTTTGGGGAAATTTTATTGTACCTCCTCCACCCTGCGAGTGAGGAGATGCGGGAGCGGCCTCGTTTTTTTTATTAAGGAATTTATTGTATGAAAAATGATGCCAAGTAGCGGCGTCGATCGTTTGCTTTCAAAAAGCACACGTACGAGGGGGCGAAAATTTTCATTTTAATACTTGTTGATTGACAATATTATTAGGTTGAAAGTTTCTTATTAATTTATAAAACTAATTTTAATGGTGCCAATTTTGAGAACACAATTATTTTAGAAAATACAAATAAAAAAACAGTGATAAATTTCAAAAATTCTGTTTTTCTAAATAATTTAATTTTTTTACTATTAAAAATCAATGCAAATCATGATCAAAATTAGCTCATTCAGTATCTATAAACATTAATCCTACATAAATGGAAATTTCCTCACAAATTGATCAAACCCGTTTTATGTCGCGCCCAACATTTATTACACACAAAAGCATCCAAGTCCCAATTATATAATTGAAGTTAATCACCAAACCACGAGTTCGGAGCTCATCATGACGCCTCTTTTGCTGCAATTAATAGCGCGTAAAAAATCGAGTCGCGAGAGAAGAGATTTTATTAAAAATGCATTACAAAAATATCACCGCATCATCAAAACTGATTAGCATGTGCTGCAATTTTAACAAGTGAACATGCAATTTAGAAGTGACAAAGCTGAAAAAGCTTTCAGGGTTAATCTTGAGCAAATTTCGTCATGTGCGGCTGCGTTGAGCGCCGGTGGGAGTGAAAAATCACGACGTTTCAATCTGGTAACAATGAAATTACCGCGTGTCTTGTCAGAAAAGCAGGAGAGACGTGTGTGGCCCGCGAGCACTATTTATAAATAAAATATGCCTCGGAAAATACATAAACGCGCGGCTACCGTATTCGCGCCTATTGAGATGCACGCTTTTGAATTATATAAATAATTCATTTCCTTCGTAGCGTTTATTACCAATATTTCCGTTTAAAAACGCCTCAATTTCTTAAACCGTGACTCAGGTTATGGTTTTGAGAATCATTTTTTTTACTTTGCTCATAAAAAATGTAATTAACCAAGCGTTAAATAATCTCCTTCCGCGCCAACGCGAGCAAAAAGTGCGCATTTATCATTTTCGTTATATTTTTTATCATACAAAGAAAAAAAAATCCCGCAGCTTCTGAAAGTTTAGCTTCTATACACGCATCTTTGGCTAGAGAGTAAATTGATACTTTGACCGAGCCTGCTGTTGAAATATCTTTTGGTTTTACGGCCGCGCTAACCCTTTTTTGAACCAGATTTATATATAATTTAATACGGACCGAATGCAGCTGCAGACAAGCAATAAATTTTATATGGTGTTGGAACAATAAATGGTCAACTCACGGTCGGATTAATAAAAAAAAAAAATAAGACCGCATTCGGATGCATTTCACTTAATAATAATAATAAATCCGAATGCTCAGCGAAGGATCAAATTTTCTCCAGCACTTAAAATAAACGCGTCATAATTGTTTTAATGAAACTATTAACAATGCAGACTTGTAATAGATCCTAATGTAATATGCAATTACACACTCGATTAAATAAGCTGTGCGCATTAATGAGATGCACTTTGCCGCCGCGAGTGAAGCACAACAAGTGCCATTTTATTTATTATCACATTACACGACTCCCGGTCTCATAAGTGAACCAGTTTAACATGAAATTACAAATATGAATTTATATACTTTGGATTTATGAGAATTGACAAGGCTTGAAATGTGAAGCAATAATCCGGTAGCCTCTGTGGTAATTACGATTTTTTGTGTGCGAAACGCGCATCAAGCTTAAAACTTTTTTCGCCGCAGGGCTCAATCGTAAATAACAATAGAGCGGCTAATAATGATGTGCGCTGCTTTTCTCTGCGCGCCGCGCTGATTTGACTTTTCTTCGGCGTCGTAATTAAGAACGAGAGACGCTTTTCACTCCATCAAATTCGGCTCAGGAGCTGCACTTCATGATATACGCACAGACAAATTAAATAAAGCCACTCCATTATGAATCTTTTGTAAAAGTATCGAAAATTGCTTAGGCTTTCTAACTAAAATCATCTTTTTAAATTGGAAAACGGGAAAATCTCAATTAAAAATGTATATTTGAAGCTAAAATTGAATTAACTTTTTAATTATAATGTACTTTTTGATGAATTGAGGACGAAAAAAGATAATTTTTTTTAATTCGTTAAAAATTAATTTAAAATTTTAATATTTCCCTCTTTAATTTTAAATCCAAACTACAGATTCAGTTACATAAAATCCTCTAAAAAATAAAAAATAATTTAATTTTAATATACAACTTTGCTAGCAAATTTTCATTCCTCGTTTTGTGAATTGAGGAAAAAAAGACGTTTTTCACCTTGAAACGAAGCAAATCGCTGCTCGCGGGTGAATCACGCAATAATGAGATTTTCCGTCTTACAAACCCATATCCATTTCCTCCTCCTCCTACTCTTCTTGTCGACCACACAATTTTTATTCAGCATTGCCACGACTGGCAGCAGCAATATTTGATTATATTGTTCATTGATGCGAGAAATAAATAAATCCGTCGATGGGAGCTGAAATTTTTCTGCCGCGCGCGCAGGTGAGAAAAAAAAGAGGATTTTCATATAGTAATAATCATACCAAAGTCGCTCATCATCTACAATCAGAACCACAAAACCGCAGTGGAGACGGAAATTTGATAACTTTTTTAAGAAGCACTCGCGCGCTCGAATGTCAAACGCGAATGAAAAAAAAATCATTATATTTTCTCTGGTTAGAAAATTTATAACTAGCTTGATCGATTGTGTGTTGATTTTCGTTCAACTGCAGCCGCGCGGTATAGAAAATTTGGTAAGCGGCGGCGCAGGTGACCTGTCTGTCCACCTAGAGAAAGTTGCCGAGCGTGTTTAAAAAATGAAAAAGAACGGCCGCGGGCGAAACTTTTGTTTCGCCTTTGTGTCTATTAAGGCTCTTTCTTGGCACGGCCAAAAAACTGCCGACGTAAATATTTCAGCGGACAATTGGCTCAGACTAGATGTTTTGCTCTTCTATGAATAAATTTCACAATAGCGAACAGGAAGAAAGAGAAAAGATCTCGCGACCTTGGCTTTTCTTCTATTCATTATTTGTTGGGTTTGTCCGCGACTTCTTTTGCAAATAAATATCGACGTGAATCATTTGTTGGAAGTTGCGCGAGCGTTCAAATTCCCAGCAGCGCCTCCGCTTCGATCGATGCACTCTCGAGTCAGATGCAGAGATTTGAACGCGCGGGGTTTTCCTTCATAATCTGGCGCGTAATTACACCGCAAGGGTGACATTGAGCTGTGTGTGTGCGCAAAGTGATATCATCTGTGCCGTGCCCAAGAGTGCGTAGGGAACGCGGCACTTGCGTGCGGTACTTTCAACAGAGAGAATAAGAAAACGGTTTTGCATGTTTCAATTTTTTAACTATAGGCCTTGCATGCGCCCCGTGTTTATAATTTTGCGATTATCGTTATACATTTCACTTCGCGTGTCTCGAAAAAATCGCGTGGAAAATGCGCCGAGACGGCGGTCGGGGCAATAACAATCTTATATAATACATCGTTTTGACGCCGCGCACACAGATTTGAATGAAACACGAAAATTCAGCGGAAAGGCGAGAGGAAAGGCTCGTTTTATATGATTCAGACGGAAACATCTCTCACGAAAGCTTGTATATTATTATATGGACGGTCAGGTCACGTGGGCACGAGAGAAATAATTGCTAAATTGGTCGTTACAACGAGACGATTGGATAATTATCGTGTATAATTATTCGTGCTGAGATGATTGCTTCTTAAATAGTATACGCACATTTTCTCACTCAAAACATTTGATTATATTTCATTTGGGAAAAATAGGCAAATATATCGACGAGATGGAAATACACAAAATAACAGTCACGAAATTCACTTTAATTTTTTGCAAACGGTTCAAAATTGAAGGAAATTAATTAAAATAGCGTTTCTTTGATGGGTTTTCATAATAAATTTCTTCACAATTCCTAAAAACCAAACTATAGTCCAAGAATATTTGCACAGATTTAGATACAAAAAAGTTTTTGCAGTCTGATCAGATTCTGATGAACTTGTTATAGTCGTTTCGCTCTAAGAACATCCCACATTCATAGTCATTTGTTTGTTCGCGCTCAAGTCGCCACCTGCAGAAAAGGATAGGAAAGGGGCGGGGCGTAAGAAACAAATGAATCGTGTTGTTCTAGAGCGAAACGACTTTTCATACAATAGCTGTCAAGAAATTGCATAAAGCACCAGAAATGGGCTGATCTATGCAACTTTTTGGCCTGGAATGTGGTCGAAATGTTGTTGATTTTGATGTGTTCAAGCCTATGATATCAATTTTGTCCAAGTCTGGACTAGATATTGCTTTATTTCATAATGTTGCGCAATCACGAACACTGTCGCTAATTTTTTCTTCTTGTTTGGCTGTTGCAGATGTTCGGCTCGAAGGCGGAACTGCAGTTGCACTCGCAGCTGCACATGCGCGAGGCGAAGCCGTACAAGTGCTCGCAGTGCACGAAGGCGTTCGCCAACAGCTCGTACCTGTCGCAGCACACGCGCATCCACCTGGGCATCAAGCCGTACCGCTGCGAGATCTGCCAACGCAAGTTCACGCAGTTGTCGCACCTGCAGCAGCACATCCGCACGCACACGGGCGACAAACCGTACAAGTGTCGGCACATCGGCTGCAACAAGGCCTTCTCGCAGCTCAGCAACCTGCAGTCGCACTCGCGCTGCCACCAGACGGACAAGCCGTACAAGTGCAACTCGTGCTACAAGTGCTTCACGGACGAGCCGTCCCTCCTCGAGCACATCCCCAAGCACAAGGAGTCCAAGCACCTGAAGACGCACATCTGCCAGTACTGCGGCAAGTCGTACACGCAGGAGACCTACCTCACCAAGCACATGCAGAAGCACGCCGAGCGCGCCGACAAGCGGCCGCCCATCATGGGCGCCAGGCCCCCCAACGGCGGGGGTCCCAACGGGGGCCCCGCGTCCCCCGGCGCCCCCAACGGCACCAACTCGCCCGTCGAGCACGCCGCCTACTGGAACAACAAGGACAACCTGGACGGGCTGCACGAGCCGTGCCTGCAGCCGCCGACGCCGAGCGGCGCCACCGTCGCCAACATGGCCGCCTCCGAACGGCTGATGGAGGACGTGCGGCAGCAGCACCTGCAGCAGCAGCAGCAGCAGCAGAGCTACGAGATGCCGGTCAAGACGACGTCGGCCTTCACGCCCATCCAGAGCGCGGCCGCGTCCATGTTGCCGCTGGCCGCCGCCGCCGCCGTCAGCAACAACCAGCTCATGGCCCCGCCCACCTCCAGAGGACCATATCACTTGGCGTACGAGTCGCTGTCGTTTCCCAAGGCCGTCACCTCGGTGGCCAGTTCGCACGGCCACCTGGGCGGCGGCGCCGGTGGCGCCCCTGGCGGCGGCTCCTTCCCCAACCAACTGATCTCGCTGCACCAAATCCGCAACTACGCGCACCAGCCGCCCACGATGGCCGGCGAGCACCTGCTCGGTCTCAAGGAGAAGAGTCAGTAAAATGATGGTGTCAAGCAAACGTTAGTTGTTTGTACAGTTCTCGGACACGCTGCAGTAGCTGTTGATTTGCAGACTCATTTTGTGCGAATGTTGCGAGTTTTATTTGGAAAACGGGCGCGCAAGAATCCTCTCCTCACCCGTTTTTAGATTGTAAGCTTTGTAAATAAATTAGTTCGTGTAAAGTTGATCCATCTCTCAGAACTCGGATGTGTATGTGTGTGCAAAGAAGAAGAAATTTTACAACAATAAAAAGGGCCAGTAGGATTTAAGAGCTCGTACATTTTCAACCCTAAGTTCAAACACGGTCGTGAGATGCCAAAATCAGTAAAAAAAAAGAAGTGACTTTGATGCGAATCAATAATTTTTAACGCGTTTAGAATGAATTAAAGGAAAAAACGACACACGATACTGCCCCTTGAAACTGTGTATTGTATAAAATGACAAGAAAAATCTCTTTTAAACTGTAAGATGTAGAAAATCTATATAGTGTTTGCCTTGTGTTGTCATTTAAGTTGTTAATTATATATACAGAAAAACGAACCACATGTTTTTATCAATAGGAAAAATGAGAGAAAAAGCGAGAGAGAGAGAGATGATTAAGTTGTGACAAAGACTGCATTTCATTGCATGACATTCATGGTATATAATATTATAATAATTGCTGAACACACACGAATAGGACCACAAGCAGCAGTCCTCATTTTGCCCAAACACATTTTTAATTTTTTTTCCTTTTTTATTTTCAAAAATCTCAAACTGAAACGTTGAAAAAAGGGATGGAGCGACTCACACACACGCATAAATTAAATTTGCAGGTTTCTGAGCTAGTGATGAGATGACTTGATATTCATTTCAACTCTCAACGACGTTTTATCATTGTCTACTGTCAGTGTTTCGAAATACAGGGAAAAAACAGCAAAATATTTTCAATGTCTCTCAAAGTTCCGGTGGTTTATATAAACAAAAAGAAAAAGATCTCTCTGTTTGCTACTTATGAAAAAATGAAAAATACTGTCCAGCGCTGGCTCAACGGGAAATTATTAATGTTGCATTTCACGTGTTTGCTGTGCGTGTGATAAACGCAATCTCAGCTTGTTGTTTTCGGGAGGAAAGAAAGTGTGAAAATTCGAAAAGCATTCTTTCTCATCACTTATGCGATCAATTCTCTGTCAATTTTGGCGCAAAACGTGCGCCGAATTATACAAATTTTGTCCTCAGGATTGGCAATAAAATGCGTGATCGAACGTTAGATATATTTCCACAGTGCATGGTCTTTCTCGATTGTTACTTAATTTTACGATATAGTTAATGTGTATTGATTGTGACAAGCAAGCACGAATTGCAAAAGTGTGGAGAAATTCGTCGGTGACTCGAAAAGGCGGAAAAATAAATGTGAATTTCGTCGCCTAACTAAGCTTCTAAGCACACTTTTCTCAAACATCTATGTCCACTTTTCTCTACTCTTTTTGGCAAAAAACTTAAAAAGATTTCCTAATTCCGTGGCACTTGTTCTTCTTCTCGTACATGTAAATAAATAGCAATATATTGAAAAGTCGTGTGCAGGCGGCAAGCTCACATGGTTCAACGCCGCCTAATGTTAACAGAAAAAAAACAGACAAACATAATGAAAATGCAATTAATATTATCTCTGTGCACAACAAAACGAAATTTTCGGGACAAGCTGAAAACGAGACTGCGTTTGATTGTTTTAAATTCTCATCTCTCAATCCACAAAAGACCACGCGCGCTATTTTGGTTTTTTTGCTTAATTTTTGGCGAGCTCAATATTCTCTTACGGTATGTAAAAGTGGAAAAATAATTCACACGAAAATTAGCAAAATCGACGATAAATGATGATGTTTTATATTAAAAAAAATGCAGCACCTACAGCTAAGATGTATAATTTTTAATTTTCATTTGGAACACTTAGTATACAGGATAATTATGAAATATTATTTGTGAATGATAAACTATTATTGCGATATTATAACAAAAAACAAAAATGTTAATGTTATTATGCGATAAACAATAAAAAACATTTTGAAATAATGTAAAACGAAACTGATTTCATTCTGCTTGTAAATGAACCTGAAATGATATATTTTTAAAAGTACTGGAAAGCAGTTGAAAAACAAGTTGACCTGAAACAGTTTTTAAATCTCGGCAGCGGAGGAAGTTTCTGGCCTTATGCAAATAGCTGAGCTGGACCCGCGCGTTTGGTGAAAGGGCACTGCAGGATTTTTTTGCGGCGCTTTGAAAAGTGGTTTGCGCCAACTGTATTTTAAATTTATCTCTGCTTCACCTCGGTGTGCGATTCTTCCTTTGCAGAGAGAGAGAGAAGAAGAAGAAGAAGCTCTCGTGGTCCTCTCGAGCTCTTGTGACGCAATCGCCGGTCACAAAGCCAGTTCTGGGAATCGGCGAGTGCGCTCGACGAGAGATGAGACCTGGTCCGCTACTTTTCGACCAGTCATCTTCCCACCTGAACCTTTTTAAAATACACCTGTGCCGCGCCGCCGTATCATTATGGGCAGAGCTGCGCTCACCTCTCTTTCAAATCTCTCATTTTATTTAGGTACATGTTCTTTACCCCCACACACAGAGACGATGCCTGCCTAGTTTCGCGAAAAGTTGCAAATTCAACGACTCGATTGCTTGATCAGTGGAATAAAAAACTATTTGATTAATCGTTTTATTTTTTAACATTTTTATAGTATTGTAGGTGAAATTGTATTGAAAAATTGCATTTTCCAGAAACAAATTTTGATTTTATATATAACAAGCTTTTTTTCACATTAGACAATTCTAATGCATTAATAATCGATTTTGAACACGTAAACGCTTCCTTATAATTTGATTTTTCTTTTTAGTGATGTGAAATTAGAAAGACTAAAATCAATGGGGTCTTGATATTGAGAAATATCCGAAACAGAAGCGCACGCATTATGGCTCAATAAGTACCGCTTTTGATTGGCTGTTGGTTTTCTGTGGCGCAAATTTCAAATTTTCACCAGCGTGTGAAAGTGACACGATCAAATAAAATTAACGAAAAAGCATTAATCTGTAAAAATAATAGCAAAAATCACATACCTGGGACCAGTTTATGAGTGCGGCGCCTTTTCCGAGTGGTCGGCTGAACGAGAAAATTCCCCTTTTGCCTCAATTCGTTGAGATACGGTAGCGATTCATGAAAATTTTCGCCTTTCTCGCCATTTTCTTTCTTCCAAGGACTTGTTGGGCACAAGGGTAGCGGCCTTGGGTAGCGGCGAGTGATAAGAGAAAGAGAGAGTGTTGGTGGGAGCGCATTCCAATGCTGCTGCATTGGGCAGGTAGCGCTCCCTCCCAACCCTCCCTCATTTACTTTTCCCTCGCCGGCTGCCCAAGCGCTGGCAACTCCAGAAACTTCCTCGCTGGAGGAAAAATGGCGAATCGGGCAAAAATATCAGCAATCAACCCGTATCACACCGAATTAAGGCGAATAATGGATTTTCTCGCCGCGCCGACCACTCGGAAGTGTCACTGCACTCATCGACTCGCCTCAGGTAGGTGAATTTTTCCGTTATAATTTTCTATTTTTTAAAGAAATTGCTTCTAAAATTATGTCTCTCGTTTGTCGTAAAATAAATTGCCACTCCCCTTCCGGTACTAGAAGCGGACGCATCTGACCACTATTCGGATCGAGACCCCATTGACTAAAATAACATACAAAGCACTTATTTTATACATAATTGTTTTTTCAATTTATTTTATTACTTGGAATATTATGAATGGCATTATTTAATTGAATACTCTATTGCTATATTTTCTGCTTTAATCGTTCCTTCATTTTCATTAAAAATTCATTAGCTGCGCGGCCTAATTCCGGCGTCGCAGCAGCAGGAGTGTAACTCGATAGCCTTTTCTTTTGTTTTTGGCGAAAAGTCAGCAAGTCCGTTAGCAAATCTTGTTTGTGTTTTGTTTTGGACCCAATTTTGAATGCTTTCACGAGCGCACTAATTGTTAACAAATCCGCGGCGCGACGGCCTTTGACAAAATCAATCGAGATCGGCCTGAAATGGAACTTTTGTCACAGACGAGTGGAGCCGATTTCTTCACACGCACCGTCGGCCCAGTCAAGTGTGTCTTTTCTGGCTACCAGGGTGACCGCAAGTTGGCCCTTCGTGACATTTATTACGCCACAAAATCTGCGCGCTTATTTTTATCAACAGCGCAGCAATAATAATTTCGTGCGCAGCCACCAGAAAACTCGCTTTCGCAACCTTTGCGGCATTCAAATTTTTTCCCCGACCGACAAACGACCAAAATTATGTCTGAAGTTTCCACTAAACTTATCAGTGAGAATTTTATTTAATCTAAAAGTTAAAAAGTTTTCTAAATTTCAATTAAATTTTTTCCTACTGATTGTAAGTCCTGTTTTCATGTAAAACAATTAAATATTATATGACTTTGTACAACGATTAGAATTGTTCTTAGAAAATATTTCTCTCTGAATATTTCATTTTGATCCTCGCTACTCCCTTCAAAGTGCCATCGACGTGTGTTTCCTGCTCCGCACTCGCGGTTTCGCATTTTTAGCCTCGGTGTGATGTGTTCCTGGAAAAGAATCTGCAGGAGAGCTAAAGCCAGCGCATGGGAGAAAAGAAAGAGGCAACAATTCATTTATTAGCCCGAACTGCAGAGAGTGCAGCCATTAAATAAATCCGTCTTCAAAGCACGGTAGCCGCGCGCCGAGGCAAAAAGGCACACACATGCCTCGGGACCCCTTTTCCTTAAAATGCGCCGCCCCATTGTTTGCTCAACCGGCATCTTTTACGCCTTCCGATTAGATTTATCATATTTTCAAAAAAGAAAAAAAATTAATTAATAAAATTAAATAACAAGATAAATTCATGTTTGTGAATAAAAACGTATTTTGATTTTTTTCTAGTGTAATAAATTTGAGCAATATTCCCAGCAAGTGATCAAAAGTGAGGCGAGTATAGCGAATGATGTGATATGACGCGAAGAGTTGGGAATAACGCGCTGGCTCGGCGTGACGAATTCGAGCCGCCGCTCATTATACGTCGCACCTGCGAGAAAGAAAAGGAAAGAGACGCTTGCTCGCCCCATCCATTTCTCACAACACGGTCCATCAGCCCAAGTGCTGAGAAAACACAAAATCAAAGGGTGGGAAAATGATCTGCTTGGGTAAAGCTGCGATTAATTTGTAACTATACACCTAAAATTTTAAAGCTGGAATTTTTATGATTGGTTAAGTGCCTAATTTTAGGTTAAATCAGTTAATTAGTTATAAATTTTTCATTAAAAAGAAACATTATTTTTATGTTAGTTTTACAAGCGAAAATTTAAATCTCTTGCTTTAAATTTTAACATATGAAAAAAGATTTTTTTTAATATTGACCAAAATAATTTGAATCCATGCGCTTAGGTGCTCAACTTTTGCATTCTGAACAAAATAATTATACAGAATATTTAAAAACTGGTAATTTTCGAATAAGAAATTGTAATAATAAAATACATACAAAAGCGACAGTAAAATGCAGTTTCAACAGAGGAAAGGAAAATATAGAATTATACAATTTTATTGCCCTGCACCGACAAAGACATCTTTCAGGCCCGAAATTTTAGAAATTTCCAGGGCAATATAGATTTCACAAAGAGGGAAAATGATCAAACGCTGTAGCGCGCCTGCAGCCGAATGCCCTGGCAGGCTTACAAAATTTGGGCTCCGCATCTTCATCCTGGCCAACATTTATTGTTTTGTTGTGTTTCCAGTTCCATGTCTCACCCTCCAAAATAATAATAAATAAAAGTTCATGCACCCCCCAAGTTCGCGCGGGGTCAGGTAAAGATTTATTGCCCCCAATATAATTGTAGAGCGCGAGTGGCGCGCACATGCTCCAGACCTTCCGAAGCAAAATGCTCGTTCCGAGTTTCCATGAAATCGGCGCCGCTCCCATTGAAGAAGGCACGCTTTAATCCGCAAAATTTATTCTGCCGCGCGCCAACTCTCGTTTTCTCTCTTCTTTCAAAATCTTCTTCCCACCAAACATCATGCAATGGTACATCAAATAAACAAGAAGAGCGAATGAATTGTAAAAATGAAATTGGCCTGTTATAAAATACAAAATTGGCAGAAACACAACAATCGAGAGTTTTGATCTAAATTAATCCGGCCGTTTATTCTTTTCCATTAAATAAACATAATTTTTTTTCAGCAATTCAAGTGTGTTTGTAGCAATGTGGACAAATTTTCAACAATAAAAGAAATTATTAATAATAATAAATAAATTATTTTATAAAAACTGTCGAAATAAAGAATTTTATTTATCATTTTCCACAATATTGGATATTAAAAATTTTATCAGATAGAACTGATTCAATATTTAATTTCTTTCTTGTTTGATTTTTTTTTAACTGTTTAAATAAAAATGAAATTAATCATTCATTCAGTTCTAAACTTATAACGTTTCACCATCTAAATCACCATTACAGTGAATATTTCGTATTTGTTTCTTAATTATAAATGTAATAATTTTCAAGTAATCATGCATTAATTTTAAAATTTTTTAATGCATTTTATGTGAAATAAAAATCATTTAATAATTTTCTGAAAGATGAAATGTTATTCTTACAGCAAAAAGACTCTTGAATTGCGTGAATTTACTACCTTGACGATTACCTAGAATTTTGCTCATTCGCTGAATCTTAAATTTAAAACAAATAATGTTCCTCTACATAATACAGTTCTGAACTAATTAAGTCTCTTAATTAAAAATTGCACCTAAATAATTAGACTTTTATGAAAACTTTGCATCCAAGAAAAGGCTCGTCAATAATCATCAATTACCTACCCTCACTGATTAAATGATAATTCTCTGGTGCGGAATTGCGTTATTTTTGTGCTTGGGCAATAAAAGATCGAGGGTACAAATTAAGCCTGAGCTTCTTCTAAGGTAATGCGTGGCCTGAGCGGCTCCAACTATTTATTACGTTTGGCCGCGGGCCTCGGACGTTTCACAGAAGAAGCGAATTAACTGATGATGATGGTCGCGCGAGAAGCTTTCTGCACAGATTCGCCCCGCGGCGATGCTGCTCATTCGGCAACCCGACAGGTCCATTTGCCTTTCATTTGCACAGGCTTTTCTCCTTGCTGCGGAGAATGCCGACAAAATCATTAGCATCTTTTTTTGTGAACAATAATTCGTCAATATTTGAAATCATATTTTTTAATTTTCCTGCTTGGTGTGGAATAATTATTTTATTCCTCTCTTAATTTGTTTGTTTTGACTGTGGCTGTGTCATCGGAGAACTTCATTGTTTTTTTTTATTATTATTATTCAATTAATTTTCGGCTTACAATTAAATTCATTTTTTAAGGGCTTTCTTTTTAATTATTCTTTTTTTAATTTCTGGCAATTGTTTTAAGTTGAATTCTTACAAATAAATCTTGCATTTATTTTAAATTTAAAGTAGCTTTAAATTTACAAATAATTAGTATAAATTCAATTGGAATTAGCTTGTAAAATTCATGGGATTCTATTTCGATACAAGGGAATTTATAAAGGCATTTTAGAATTCAACTGCAGATTCACAGAACTTTCTAGATGCATCTAGAAAGTAGTTCTCAATGTAAATCAAATGGGTGGGTGGGTTTTGCGCGACCCTCCCAGGGCTGCTACCCGCGCTATAAAAAGGCGCTCCGTCCGCTGGCTCGATGCAGAAGGCTGACAGACCTCAGAGAAATCAGAGGTAAAGCTTCGACACTCGAGCCAGCTGACGGAGAGCATTCAACCCTTTGCTCTCTGTTCGCAGGACACCTGGACACCCAGTGCAGTTTCGGACGCCCGTCCGATCCCTTCGCACCCGTCCGAGCTGTCCCACGGCGCCGACCGCTGTCCTGTCCCGGCGCTGTCTCGTCCGAGAACAGCCGGAAGGCCGACCGCGTCCCGAGCCCCTCGAGAGACACACCTGTGTCCCTCGTACTGTCCCGGATGCGGCTGAGCCGTCCGAAGCCGTACGGAGCAATTTTGCCAGGTAAGAGAGATTCCAATTAGTCTCTCCCTGAGGCCTTCTTTTGGCCGAAAGGTCAAACCACTACGTGAGACGGAAGTACAGCCGAGCGACCCATTGTTTTGTCCCCAGCTCCTTCCTGTCCGAGGAATCGGGCGCCGACGTGGCACGCCGCCAGCGAGCGCTCGGACGAAGGCGTCCGAACGTCCGCCGCCAGAGACCCGCACGCCGTGGGCCCCGGCCGCGCCGAGAGCCTGCAGGGAGCCGTCCGGGTTCCCAGCAAGGACGTTTCCAGGGCAGCCTGCCGGCCTACCCAGGGAACACCGCTCCCATTTGTTGATTTTTAAGTGACATTGAACGAACAATTTCGAGTCAGTGAAATTTGCTCATTCTGCCAGAATTGTTGTGTTAAATAAAGCCCGTGTGTAAGCTGACCCAATTTGTTTAAACAAAATACCCCAACCAATATAGTTATTAACAATTAGCAAATAGTAATAATTTAAACAATAGAAATTATTGAACAATTACCCATTAATAATTTAAATAAAATAGAATTTATTAAACAATTAAATAATCAGTCAGTATAATAATATGCAAACCCCTTACTTGCAACTTATTGTTATTTTGGTTTGCAATAAACTAAATTTGTAATACCATGCTCATACAATTTCATAATCAATAATTATAGCCAAGCCAAGTTCTTCAATAATTAGTACAAAAAATGGAAATTAACTTTTTGCGTACAGTTTTAATTAAAGAACAATTAAATATGGAAAGCAATGAATTATTGGAAAAAACGTAGAAGAAAATTAAAAATTATAAGTGCAGAATTAAGCAATTGGTCCGCAAGCAGTGGTGGCAGCAGCAGCCAGACGGTGCGGCCAGTCTTTAAGTTTTTATGCAACCGGCAGTGTCTCTCTGAAAGGCAGGTTGCATACATTTCTAATTTCAGGATACTTTTAGCCTTGCCACCTTTACCGTTCATTGGATTTTCCTACTTCCCGCTTCAATGCATCTTGTATTGCTGCTCTGGAATTCCCACAATCTATTTTGCAACAAATAAATATCCATTTCAAGACCATTTTGATCACGATCTTTCCGAAATAAACACAACAAAAGATTCTCATAACGGCGCATTATTTACAAATTATAAAAAAAAGGAATTTCTCCAGTTGAAAAAACAACTGATTTACAAAAAATATATTTTCAAAATCAAGTACATTATTGAGAAGAATTTTTTTAATGAAAAATAGAAATTATGTTCTCCACACAAGATAAAGAATGGTTGTAAGAAAAATACAGTTATTACATAAAAATTCTTATTTAACAGATTCATTCAGATTATTTTTGTATTTTTTAAATCAACCTTAAGAACTACGAAGACCTCCACGGCTTCAGGGTTGCGAATGTAAGGAAACCAGTGTGACCAGGAACCGTTGCTGCCGGAAAACTAGTGATGAATCTTTGCTGCTCTTCAGGACCCTCCTTAAGAATGATTCGTGATTTAATTGGAAGAAAAGAATAATTAAAAGTTACCAAGTTGAGTTTTGCATGCGTCCTGTACTGGACATTCAAATCTCTGCAAAGGCATTCGAGCATCTCGGCCTCGAAAAAGCCATTCTTCAGCAGCGCCTCTTTGCTTTTGACAACTTGCTCGATGCAGGGGGAAAAAATTGAAATCCTTCCGCCTGAAATTAAATTAATATTTAATTATTTTGAAAAAAAAAATGATAATTACCAGGAACTAAAACGTTTCTAGCGTGAGGAATTGCCTCCCAGGGCATGGGCAGGTCGAGGAAGACGGCGTCGACTTTGTCCTCGGCAGGGTCGACGGCGAACCCCTGGGCGCACACGTCCCTGTGGATGACCCTGACCAAGGGTTCCGTGTACCCGTGCAGGGCAAACTCGTCCCTGGCGGTGGTGGCGCGGACTTCGTGGAAGTCGAAGGTTCGCAAGCGGCCGTCCGGCTTGATCGTCCGCAGAATCGAGTGGGACAGAGACCCACTTCCGGTGCCTGAATTAAAGAGAATTGAATTAAGAGATATTAAACTTTGATTAATTTAAAACAAAAACCTGCTTCAACAACCCTCGAGCCCGGTTTCAACTCGAGCTGTATCAAAATGAGGGAAATGTCGGGCGTGTAGAGGATCTGCGTGCGGTGCGGCAGACACTGCGTCCAGAGGTCGCACGTGGGCGCCAGCACGTAGGCCCAGCCCTTGGACAGCGGCACCTTGGTGCCGTAGCGCCGGCCCTGCAGCTCGGACACCCTCAGGGCGCCGTACACCGTCTGGAACACGTTGTCCACCAACTCGCCCTTCTTGTTTTTCATCTTGGCCTCGACCTGCAGGGGGAATATCGAGGTCACCGACAGGTACAGTATGACCGTGTCGCCCATTTCGATTTTCGACTTGAACTCGGCGAAACTCATCTTTCTTTCTTTCAAAACAACCAGCAAGGCACGTGTTGTTGTTGTTGTTTTCAAACTCTTGTGGCGACGTAGTTCGGCAAAGCGCCAACAGATGGCGCGCAAAGTCACTCCTTTCCAGCTCCTTTGTGCGGCTCTCACATGTTTGTTTACAAGTAAATTCATCCTGTGGGCAAGAAAGTTTCGCGAAATTTCCCCAAATTTGAGCTGCCATGGCCTGCTAAATGAACTGCGGAAACGTTTGCTTTGCCAATTTCAAGCTGAAGTTTGGTACTTTTCAGCCGAGGTTCGTGTTTAATTTCTCAGTGTTTGGAGATTTCAATTTTGATGAGGTGTGCACAATTTTCAGTTCTTATCTCAATCATACAATTATGGAATTTTCTAAATTTCAAGCGTGAAATTCGTTTCCGAATACTTCATTCTAATCAGTGAATAATTACTCGGATACCTGCAATTTTTTTAATATTTCATAACATTAAGCTGGTTACGAATAATCAACAATTTTATTGCTTATGTAATTTTATAAATAATTATGTATTATTCATAAAACGTAAATTACATTTATTTTGTGTCAAATATTAAGGTTTTTTAAATTTCCAAACTAGTTCTAAAAAGTTCAAATGTTTTGAAATTTACGAATATGATGAAAATTCCGGAAAATTATAGGTGATCATTTCATCAAGAGCAAAGCATGGAAGACCAAGAAATTGATGGAGAACTGGGACCGTTTGCTCCGGAAATTTACGAAATCCCGTCAAAACAATATGAATGTGAAGAAATAATCTAAAAATTTGAGTTCTTTAAAACTGAATTTAATTTTACAGATTTGGATCACACTGCAGATGTTCAGTAAGTTTTCCTGGATGAGCAATAATTTAAAACAATTACTTTTTTTAAATTACTTCTTTAATAAGATAAAATTTATATGAGGAAAATGCAATTTCAGGCTTCATTCGTGGGGCTCGTCTGTGGAGGAAGCTTTCGAGCAATGTGCTGTGGCCATGTTTGACTACATTTCAGAATTGGAACATTGTGATGTGAGTAATAAAATAACTTGTCAGGTCAAACATTCCCAAATAACCGAATTCACAGATTTTAGAAATGAGGAGGGTGGCGGTCGAGGGCCACGACGTCCTCTCGCTCTTGTACAATTTCCTCGACGAGTGTCTTTTCATGTTCAACTGTGAACCGTTTTTCCTAGCCAAGGTAAACAAAAAACGCATTCAAAATTCAAAGTACATTTTTATTGCATTCAACAAAGGTTTCTCTTTAATGCTAGTTTTAAGGTAAATGAATTATGAATACGACAAATTTTATATCGTCAAGTGCATTGCTTGAATGATTTTGTTTGAATCTTCTAAAAATTTAATTTTAAATTTTATTTTATTTATTAAATCAAAATCAATTATTAAAATTCTGTTGGAATTGAAATTTTACTCATTTAAAAAAAAATTAATTATTTATTTCTTTGTAAATTAGCTGAATTTTGCTTTTTTTTCAGAACCAATTTGATTAAAAAATTTAATGAATTATTTATTTGCAAATAAACTGAAATTTGCTCTTAATTTAATTTAAATTATTCATTCCAATTGCGAAACTGTTTTTTATTCTAATAATCTATTCTGATTTATGCAAATTTGTGTTTTTTACTTAGTCTTAATACAAATTTTGTTATCAGAAAGTGAAAATTGTGGAGTTTGACCGGTCCAACTGGAAGATCAGAGCCGAACTGTACGGCGAGGAATTTGATCTGGAGAAACACCCTCAGGGAACGGAAGTCAAGGCCATCACCTACTCCAACATTCAGGTTCACGAAGAAGGAGAGAAGAAGGAAGTTTTCGTCATCATCGACATCTAACAAACACTTTATTCGCAACAAATACATATTTATATCTCATCACCACCAGGACTACGTGCAAAAATCAGCAGAGCTGGTTTTGGTTTTGTGCAAATTACTACAAAAATAATCCCTTCAGCTGCTTTCGAATGAATAAAAGCAGATGCTCGTGAAACCGCTCTGATTGTGCACTAATAATTGGGTATTCAAGCATGTGTGGAAAAAAAATCATTTTATTCACGGGAGAGAGGCAGATGCGGACATAAATTTAAAGGGCTGCTATTTAACTCCGCCCCGAAGCCGGCAGCCCCTTGTGAAAGAATGCGGCTGCCTTGATGCATTTTTCTCCCCACCTTGAAAAAAACCTGAATCCCCCACACATAGAACTCTCCCCCGGTCGGTATAATATGACAACCGTTTCGCGCCTTTTACGGCACCAATGAGCAGCTGTTGCCGCTTTTACGGCAGCAGAACGAGCGACCCACACCTGGCTTGGCTTGACGGCCCCGAACGAGCATTCTCAACTTTGAACACGATTTTCTTCAATACGTTTATGAAAATGGCAGATTTCGGTCCTGCGTAAAGCAAAGGTACAGCTAGATTTGATTTTGTGAGAGGTTAATTAATTGAAAAGCGGCGTTTCGGGAGAAAATGCGGGAGAAGTGGAGGAATGCTCGGTAGGGGGCCGGGAGCGGAAGTGCGTCAGATGGTGGCGAGTCGGTGTTGGCGCCAAGCGTTGCCGCTAATCGGTCTGGACGCGGCCATTGAGCAAATCTGTCAACCGATCCGAGTCGCTGCTGTGGCAATTAATCGAGAGCCGCGGTCCTGCACCCCGCACGATTGATTGTTTCTCAAGGCGGAGGGAGCAACAAACGGTCGTGAGATCACACATTGAGGTCGCAGGGATCGCGCGGAGGAAAAGAGAAGAAAATCCGCGAGTGTGTGCGCGGAGGTGGCGAGATCATCGGTGTTCCCCTTCCGCGAGCCGCCGCGACTTGCACACACCGAGCGAGCAACAAACGAAGTGGCCGCCGCACCGAGAGCGCGTTTAGAGGCGAATCGGCGACTCCGCACCCGCGCCATGAGTGCGAAACGCGCGTGAACGTGTTGGGCAGACACGCCGGCCGACGCAGGGCCGACCTAGCGAGGGCTCGAGCTGACTTTCGGCGAGGTGAGTTGGGTGCACGCTCGGGGCCCCGAGAGAAGCCGCCGCGGCCAGGGGAAGATGGACGCCGCAGCCTCGGCGCATTTCGCTTTCGGCACCCCCGACCCGGCCCTTTCCAAGCCGAACCACCCCCTTTGGCCCCCGCACCCGAAACTCCACCCCTCCCTCCAACCCTTGAGCCTGATTTCGGGCCGATTTCTCGCTCGACGGCCGAACGGCGCCCGATTCAAAAAGACGCTTTTCTCTCTCTCTCGCTCGTGTGGCGACCTCGACCTAATATGGACGCTGCCGAGAACTTTGCAAAGGCCACGGCCAATCTGCACATGTGGTGCATCGCCCGCTGCGACCACTCGATTCTCTTCATCCCCCGCTTTCTCCGCGAATCCGGCATTCGTGCCTAATTTGATTGATTTGGCGAATGAATTTGGTTTAACGGGGGGTCTCTGCGAATTCGGCTGCCGAACTGCCGAAATTTTCGGCTCGAGTCGTCCGAGCTAAATTTTAATTGGTTCGGACACTTCAGGACAGGGCCCGGAGGATTCGGCCCGCCATTGACCGCGCCGAGGTTGACAAATTGCCGTGCGTGAGGTTCCTCGAAATGGCTTCCAAATGTGTTGCTTGACGCGTCCGGGCTTAATTTGCGAATCATTTTAATTTTCTTTCGGCACAATTTTCCTGCCCAAACGCATTTCGACTGATTCTAGTGCGTGGCATTTAAATCTTAAATTCACGGGCCTTTTAAATGCACCCAGGTTGGCCCCTGCCCCGGAGGAAGTGCCACATTTTTTTAATTATGTGCAAAATTATCGCTGTACTTTTCATTTTTGTTTATCAACTTGTTTCCTACAGAGCAAAGGAGGAAGTCGAATGATTACGAGGGTTTTAATTAAAAGGCCAATCAGTTTAAAAGCCTTCAAAGGTTTTCATTCGAATCGTCTTATCATGCCATTTAAACTTTATCTGTGAATTCCCCAACCTGAAATAAATAACTTTTTTTAAAATTATAATTCAAATGAATTACTATTGACTTGCGTTTTTCAGAAATGTCCGGCCAGACGTTGAGGTAGCAGAGTGAGCTCGTGTGCCGAGCAATGCCCCGCGGATCCGGTGGAGTGAGCCGAGCCCTGGGACACGGGGCCAGTCCCCTGTCTGTGGTGACGGTGGCCGCGGCCAGCCCGTCCACCTCGGCCTCGACCATCAAGTACTTCAGCCCCTCGTACGTCCTCGACCACGAGTACGGCCAGACGCCCCAAAACCAGATCATGCGCCAATCCAGTCGCTCCACGGTGCCTCCGGCCAGGACGGACGCTCGAGGCACCCTCGACATAGAGGTACGAAAAAAATAATTTTATTTTACTGAAAATTCCTTCACATTCACTCATATCAAACTTAAGCACAGGTCAATTGGTGTTGGATTTGTGTACAAAAATAAAAATCAGACTTTTGCCAATTTTTTCATTGATTATCTATTAAAAAATATTGTATATTTCTGCATCTTAAACAGAACTGGAGATATTCAATTTTTAAGTTGAAACTAGAGCAGCGTTTTTGGGAAGGTTTTTGAATTTTCTCCACGCCAAAATCCATCGAATTATGTCTTACTTTGACCTGATTTTTTTCAAAACATTTTGTTGCCAAACGACTTTTGCTTTGGCTTATGCGTATTTTAAGTCAAACTTCCAAATTCTTTTAATTTAAATCAAGTTTTCATTCTGAAATTTTTTTGTGTCTCGCAGCAAGTGAAACGGAGACTGGTGCTCGAAGGCACTCCGTCGCCGTCGTCAGATGCGAGCTTCAAAGCCCCGAAGGCGAAAAAGCCGCGCAATACTCCCAGTACCTCTGCGTCTTCTACGCCCAGTCCCAAACGTAAGTTTTTTCTTTCATTAGTTTTCTTTTTAAATAAATTTTTTGTCTTATTTTTTAATCAGCCCGTCCTGAGAAAACGAGATATGACACGTCTCTGGGGCTGCTGACGAAAAAGTTTTTGAACCTGCTGCAGACCTCGCCGGACGGTGTCATCGACCTGAACAAGGCCTCGGAGCATTTGAGTGTTCAAAAGAGACGCATTTACGACATAACAAACGTGCTCGAGGGAATAGGAATCCTCGAGAAAAAGTCAAAAAACAACATTCAGTGGAGGTTTGACCGAGTTCTTTTTTTCCCCTTTGCGAATTCCTTCGAACGCACTTGCAAATTTCAGAGGGGGATGTGATACTGGCGACCCCGCGCAGGGCTCAGCCCCGTACCTGCAGGCAGAACTGATAGCCATGGAGCAAAAGGAACTGGAACTCGATTCTCTAATCGAGAAAGCTAGTAAGCGGGGAAAAATGCGAGCTCGAACTGAGTGAGACTTTTCAATTTTTCGCAGAAACTGAACTGTTGGTACTCAGCGAGGACACGAGGTTAGCGTACGTGACGTACCAGGATCTGCGTAATTTAGTCGGACTGCAGTCCCAGACGGTGTTGGCGATCAAAGCGCCGCCTGAGGCCGAGCTGAACGTGCCAGAGGTATTTTTTTTAGCAATGTCGACCGATTTGCCGCAATTAATCCATGCAGGTGTCGCAGGGTCCATTACAAATGTATCTGCGCTCGGAAACGGGTGAAATCGAAGTGTTCTTATTACCTGACGAGAAGAGTGAAAACAAGAAATCAAACATCATCGAGGCGGCGGCCGCCGGCAGTAGTTTAGAGTCGTTCATGGAGCCAAGTACAAGCAGTTCGGGCAACTACGTTGAGCCCATGTTGTCCGACTCGGACAAATACATCCCCATGGGCCTGAGCAACGAGGACCAGTCTTCAGGTAACAAAATGATGACCGCCGTTCACTTGTTTTTCTCCAATGCTTGCTGATTGTAAAATGCTTAATAAACCTGCTGCCTGCTCAGACCACACACTCTTGATTTTCTTGCACTGCATGCTTTTCCAGCCGCTAAACCACAGGTAATGCTTTGTCCGTTTGCTAACAAGTGTGGATTTTTCTTTTTTCACTAACGTTTTTTGTCACGATTCAAAATTGTTTCGCTTAGGTCGATGCTTGGCCGGACGCTGGATTTGCAATGCTGGTCTTCTCGCTGTGACTTGTGCTGACTTGGGTCACATCACAGTCAGAAGGCTAGACATTGCTTGTTCATTCATCATCTCATCCGATTCGCCTAACCTGCTTTATTCATTTTGCTGCCAAAGCCTTCCAGCTGTGTCCTGTGTTTCGTTTCGCTCACATCACAGTCAGAAGGCTTTGGCGGTGCTTTGATCACTCCATCAGTGTTATTTCGATCGATAAATAAACTCTGTTTTTATGTTGATTTTGGTAGTTGGAATTGTGTGTTGTTTTGAAGAATTTGGCGACTCTGTTTGATGAATGATTTCTTTTGCAGACGCCTGCACTCTGGAGTCCTCGATGCTGAGCTCCGACCTGTTCATACCTTTCGATCCACCAATGCCTAGTTCAGACTACAGTTTCAGCATGGATCACAATGAAGGCCTCTCGGACCTTTTCGACTTTGCTCTTTAGCACACTGCCAGGCAGAGAATGAGGTTCACCAGTTCCATGCAATAGAGTTCTGTCATTCGGCGCGGTTGTTTTTGCAAAAAGCTCGAACACTTTTACTCATTTTACTACGTACGACATTTGGTGCTCAGAATCACAAAATTTTTAAATGACACACACACAACAAGAGATATGATTTTTAAACAAGAAACTACTCCCAGAGGAGTTAATTGCGAATCTCGCCACTTCGGTTTTTCGAGGCGGCCGAGTGAGCGATTCCTCGACGGAAAAGTGTTTTCTCTGCCTACCTTAGGTGCCTAAGTAGTGGGTTTATTTCCCCCATTTAATTTTGGCAAGCCATACAAAGCCCTGCCACATCTATTAAGATGATTGCAATAAAGATAATGTACATAGTTTGGAATTGATTACTACATAAATATCTATTATCACTTGATTTTGTATGTTAAAGTAAGCAAATCATCTTAATGGCGCACCTTTCAAAAAAGGTGCAAAAATACAAAACGATTTTTAACGGAGTGTTTGGGTCATTTAATGGTAGCGTGAAATAGTTTACAATTTAATTAACATACCTCCTTAACCACTTTTGTTATTGTTTCTTAATTTCTCTAGGGTTTTCACCATTTTAACGTGTTTGATTTGTGTACATTTTTTCCCCACATTGGTAGAGATGTGTTCTAGATTTCGAAAGCTTAACTGAATTGGAAACAAAAGGAAATTGCGACAAAATTGTTTACCGTTATTACAATCAAGTGCCTGAGGAAACGATTATTTGTAACAATTGAATACTAATCGACGCAGCTTTAAATTAAACAAATTGAGCTGGTTAAAAAAGAAACTGCCGAAATTCAAAAGTGGGTTTGGACGATTCAATACCAAAGTTATAAGAATTAAGATTCATACAAATGTGTTACAGCTGAATATTGGATCAGTAGACAAGTGTGATCAATTTGAATTTAACCCACTGGTGGAAAGCGTGGAGGATAATTTGGCTGAGGAGTTCATTTTTATTTTTAAATGACACGCATTTCAGTTTGTTTCCATTGATTTGGTGTACAGACTGATTTGATTCGACACAACTTGCATTACAAGTGCACCAAAATAATATGTGAGGAATGAGGAACTTGTTAATCATTTTAACAGAATTGATTTTAAATCAAAGTCTTGGTTTGTGAGAATATTCTCTGTCTGTAAATTTTATTACAACCACTTCAAAATTTCCACTTTCTGTAAATTGACATGAACAAAAAACCAATCTCCAAATTCAAAACTTCCTCTCTCTACAACCATAATAGTTGATTTCTTATTCCAAAGAGAATATTTATTGAAATATTATTATTTATTGCGCCTGCAAAACATGTTTGTCTTTTTTAATAGAAAAAATTCTACTTATTATATGATTTGTTAATTTTAAATTATTAACTCCTCGTAGACTGATCTTTTGAAAGAGAAAGATGAAAGGATAATTTGTGTTGACTTATTATTTATTTCTTCTTGTCAATTATGATCTTGGTTTGAAAACTTTCGTCACCAGTGTAAATTTCTTCTCAACCTGTATTTGTTTATAATCTGATTGGCCGAAATACTGTTGAAAATATGTGTACATCAGGTATCATTACCACATAATTTTCTTGTAGAAAATTAATTAAAAAAGCCCTCAATTAGTGGGAGCGGTGAGTGTTGAAATTTAGAAAGTAGGATTTTTACAAGCGTACAAATAACTAATCCAACACACATTCGAGAATGAAATTGCATCTTGAACAAAAGAGCGCGAGTTGCCCTTTTCAATTCTCATAACTACTCTGCGTCTATCAATGCGGGCAGCACGCGCGTCTCTCATTCAGAGTTTTAATTTCCTTGCAAGCTGTCTTGAGTCGTCTATCATAAAATGCGACATATCAAAAGGCAATATAGGAGAACAGCTTTGTCTCTTCAGCAGTGCAGTAAAAGTCAGTCAGTAAAATGGTCTGCGCAACTTTCTGGCCGTCCTTTCAAAGACCTTTTACAATTCAATGCCGATCAGATCTCTCGTGATTTCACCTGGTGTATTGTATGTATGTGTCAATGAAACTAAAAGAATCGTATTATATGAGGTGCGTTGCGTTGGGATGCGAAAAAAGAAATTCAAGTACTAACATATATAAATTTATACTGCAAGAAACCACTCGACGAATAGAGAGAGAGAGACAATTGTTCATTGTGTAGGAGTAAACTCTAGACTTAGGTGACGAATTATGTGCAAATGATGGAGCCATTGTCTTACACAAAAATAATTAAAAATCGCGTAAAAACCGAGACCTTCGCGTTTCATTCCTAGTCAACCATCAACACGGTGCTGGCACGTGGCAAAGTTTCAAATTTTTGCCAGCTTGTGGGAGTTTCTACCGCCTCAGCCGTTCTAAGTTGCAGCGCATGCGCACAACCATTAAGACCGAACGCCAAAATACTGCCAACCTAATCGCTTCCCCGTTGCTAATAAAATTAGCCTATAATTCGCGGCATTTCCTCATGTAATTCACGATTTATCACATTTTATTTGTGAAATAATACTTATATATACCTTTGAATAGTTTCAATCGTCATAGTAAGATTCCAGAAAGACACGAATATTTTTGATTAGTTGGCAGTACTTCTCACTCTCAGTTTGTTGTGGTTTTGGTCGGGACGTGAAACCTGAAATTCTCAATAATTACTCTTTTAATAAAGATCTCCGTTTGCCGTAGGAATTAGATAATTTTCAATTAAATTTGTGAATTTTATTCGACGAATTAAAAATGTCAACACACCAAGGCCACCATCCGGACAGAGAACTGGATTTGTCCAACGCTGGAAGAGGAGTTTGGCTTGTAAAAGTAGGACCAATAAAAAAGAAATATCTAGACTGCAGAATTTACTCGATTTGTCTCGTTTTTAGGTACCGAAATACATAGCTGCGCGATGGGACAGAGCGCCCGGCAACGTAGACGTCGGAAAACTCCGGATTTCAAAGTAAAATCAAATTATAATATGTAATTTTAAAAGTATTGATTTTTTATTTTGCTCTTCAGAGTTCCTGGCCAAAAAACGCACGTGTCTCTTTCGCTAAGTCAAGCCGTTCTGGCGATGAAGGATGACGAGAAGAAAAAGAGCAAGGGTGACCCTGAAGACCTGGAAATTCCTCAGAATCACATGCTGGACGTGTCGGCCGTGACTCGCCAAGCCCTGGGCGTGTTTTCGCACCATTTGCGTATGCAAAGCACTAAAATTCCTTGGAAATAACAAAATTATTCAAATTGCAGCCACCAACTGCAACGACGTAGTCCCTGAAAGTGAGAAGCTGGTTTTTGAGGGCCAAATAGTTCAAAAACTCGAATGTAGACCTCAAGGTGGGCTAAAAGAATAAAACATTGTTAATTTAATTTGGTAAATTGGAACTTTAGCAAACGAAAAGTACATGAGCCTGAAGCTTGATGCGATCCGGAAAGCAGCCATTCCGCACCGGACGGTGAAACAACTCGACAAGATTGTCCAAAACTACAAACCGGTGTCCGACCACAAACACAATGTGAACTTAAAACTTCTCATTTCCTTTCAAATTGGTTATTGATTGATTTATTCAGATCGAATACGAGGAGAAGAAGAAGGCCGAGGGCAAAAAGGCCCGCGACGACCGAGACGCCGTGCAGGAAATGCTGTTTTCGGCGTTCGAGAAGCACCAGTACTACAACATCAAAGACTTGGTCAAAATCACTCGGCAGCCGATTGTGTACTTGAAGGAAATCCTGAAAGACGTGTGCGTGTACAACCTGAAGAATCCGCACAAGAACATGTGGGAGCTGAAACCCGAGTACCGGCACTACAAGGACACGGACGCCCCGTCAACCTCCACCGACTGATAAGCATCTCTTAATCAAGATTGCAATCTGAAACTCAAAGCACAGATAATAAAATTGTCAAAAGTATTTTTCAATTGAAAGTCTGGACATTTCATTTGGATTGAATTTCCACGCAAAGGCAGCGTTAAGCTTATTTAAAATGTCAAGTCGCTTCAAAATAATTTAATCCAGTTCGTTCCATAATAACAGTAATAATATAAGGAATATTATTTCATGAAATTTAATAGGATAAAAATAATTGTACTTAAAATTAAACTAAAAAAGATTGGTTTAATATCTTCAATTGATTTTATTTTGCAAGAAAGGAAATTAAATGAGGCTAATGTTTCGCGCGAAATGAGTGTGCTGGTGTGTGGTCTTTCGGTTCATTAAACGGCGCAAAAGTAAGTAAATTGTGCTTGGAAATTTGCGTCTAATGCTTTCCTGCAATCAATTGCCCGCGAAATACTTAAACTGCCACGACAGACTGCTGCGGCGTGAATTGACGATAATAGTGTCTGGCTGGCTTTTCCTCCTTCGCGGAACAACTTATTTGCACTTCTGTAATTTATGGTTCATTAAATTGCGTGGAAACAATTATCGAGAGCGCCGAAGCTTGCCAGCGAGAAAACTAACCTCCTTAAAAAGTTTCCAGACACGTACGTTATATTCCTAGATTGTATAGATCAGAAAACTGATCCTGCGGAATTATGTCTGTAGATGTGAAACTTTTAACAGTAAAAAAGAGCAAAATTTTGAGTTCCGTTTGCGAAAATTTTTGTTAATGTTAATTGAATTGATATAGCCAAAAAATTATAATAAAATATCCTTTTTTACTTTGTTTGATTACTAAAATAATTTTATCTAATTAAATATTAAAAATCCTGAATTTTCTTGTATTTAATTATGCTTCATTTCGTGTGATGCAAATAATAACAGTTAAAAACTCCACAATATTTTGAATTTTTTATTAAATTTAATATATTTCTGCAATTTGCTGTATTTAATTTTAACGTGAATTGATATTAAATTTGGCTGTTGGTGGACATTTTAGAATTTTATTTGGCTGAAAATTATTATTATATTATTTGCGGGTTCTGTAAGTCTCGCGCTTCACTAAAATCCATGAGACAGACAGACAGCTCTCTGTGTACAGAGAGAAGTTGATGACCTTTTGGGAGGTGTGTGTGTGTGTGTGTGCGATGCATGTATGTACGCAGGATTAAAAAGTGACAGCGGCTGCAGTCAGTCATCTCGGCCGCCGCTTGAGCTGCAGACCGACGAGGAATGCCTGCGCCCGCGGAGTCGAGTAGCGCGCAGATGCCTTCTCGAGATCGGCGCTCGGCTGCATTCGTACCTACCTTGACACACATGAAAGCTGAAAAAGACCCGATCGGAATGCAATTTGTATCAATCAGAGAAAGAGAGAGAAATCGTTTGTTCGCTTCAGAATAGCTTGATTTTTAAATAAAATTCATATGTTTGTGAAACGCATAAATTGAGCAGAGACGCTTTTAATGATTTTATCAAGAGATAATCGGAACTTGAAAAGATAAGATTTCTATAGGCACAACGCGGAAATTAAACTGCTTCTTGGACAGCTCCGGCTGCAAAAATTGAGAAAAGCCAGTTTAAATTTGGCTTTTTTAAGCAATTCTAACAATAATATCAATGAAAAGTTTTGATTGCTTTTGATGGAGTTCAGAAAGATCACAAAATAAATTTGATTTAAAAGTAATAAAAATGATATGTAATGAAAAATATGGCTGGAAAATTAAACTTTGTATGATTATTGAAGCGGTGGAAAAAATTTAGAAAATTATAAAAAGTAATTGCAGTTGAAATTGAAAGAAATAAATTTTTTTTAAAATAGGTGATTAAATTTAGAACAGGACAAATTTAAAAAAAAAATCCAAATGAAGTAAAAAATTTCAGTTCAATCTCAGCGGTTTTCATATAGGAAATGAATAAAGCATATTAAATAAGTAGAAATAAACCCTTATAATTATTAATTTATAATTATAGAATCGACTATTTAAATATGATTATAATCAACCTACAATTAAAGTAGTCTATATAATAAGTATAATTATTGTAGTATCATTAATGATCAAAATTAAAAAGGCGAAAGAATCTGTTGTTTTTTGTGTTTCTAAATAACGAGCGAATCAATTAAAGCGTGACGTGGAAGCAGCGATTCGCGTACCTGAGCAAAATCTTCTTCATCTTCCATAGTATAAAATTGGCCTCTTTTTATTTTTAGGCGAAATTCGAGCAAGTGCTTTCATACGCGGTTTGCTGTGTCTCTCTCTCTCTCTCTCGGTAACATCCGCCGCGCCACGGTCTAATTTCGTCGCGTGTACCTTCCCTTGGTGCTTACTTTGTTACTTGTCATCTTGATGAATTCTGCTCCGAGTCCTCTTTTAAATCAACGTCGCGCGCGCCCAACTTTGTAATTAAACTGTTGTGAAATTATAACCTCGGCGCTTTTCTAAAAAAGCCGTTTTACGACAGGAAACGATTTTTCTCAAACACGATAGAAGCAATAAATGTCATGTCGGAAATTTTTAAGCTCAAAAATCGAATTCAGGTTGCAACTCGCACGTCATTGAAATTGGCCCCGCGATAATCTGCGATCAACAGGTCCCAGGCACACACACACTCGCCCCCAGCACATTATTATCGACTAGTCTGGCTTGCATGCATTTTAGCACTGCTTTGATCGCCGCAACGGAAATTTCCAGAAAAATATTAAATCAAATGCTCAATAGATCAAGATTCACCATTCACAATTGAGGTTTAAAAAATGATTTGATGTTCATTGATGTCAATTAATTGAAATTGTAAATCATGTTTCATCAATTAATATATGTAATAATTTATAATCAAACAATAATTTAAGCTATGATTTGATAAAAAATGAATGGAAAAAAAACACCTTTTCAATTGTGTTTGTTAATTATAACATTATTATTTTAATTATATACAATAATATTTAATGAAATATAAGATTAATTAAATAATTTCCAGATTTTTCTTCCTGTGCAAATTTTGGTAATTTTCACTGCAATAGTTGTAGAAGTTAAAAAAATTTCAAAATATTGCAATTTTTGTCATTTGATTTTAATTTGTGTAAATTCCAATAGAACTCTGAGGCAAACTTTAAACCATTTAAAAAATATAACTCTTTTTTAACTCAAGATCAAGATTCTGATGGTTTTAATTGGAAAAGGAAAAAACTTGGAATGCTGTAAAATGAGAGTTATTAATAAACTCTGGCAAATAACCGGTTCCTTTAAAATGAAAGTATTATTTGATAATCCAAACGGTCTAGGAGATTAACAAGAATGATGGCAAAAAGTATTTAAGTTGAAAAATGTTAAAATCTGGGCTGGAAGGAAAGGGGCGATTGTGTCCCTTTCAATTAAGCCACCCACCCTTGGCTTGTGGCGGCGCGGAGCAGCCGAGAGTGGAGCGAAGAGAGAATGAAAAGAGAAGGCGGCGGCGGCGAAGCAAACACGTGGTCCGCGGTGCCCAACGCAGGAGGACTTGTTGGTGTGTTGAGTCAGTTGCGTCGCAGCGCTTGGCGCAGCATTACCATCATGAGTGCCGCGGTCGACCCCGCGCCGCTTCTACTCGCGTGCTCGCTGCTCATCGCCCTCTGCTTCACCCCGCACGTCCGAGGTAAGACCATTTTCATTTCAAAAACATTTTCGCAATTTACACTTGATTTGGAAAAGCACAAATTTACCTAGTTTTCGTTTCGAGGCAATTAATTGCATCTAAAAATATGGCAGCGCCGTCAAAATCTTCTTCTTGGAGTCGACCCAAAATTTTCTCTCATTGCGGGCGGCAAAAAAATTCACTTTCATCTGTGAAACTCGTCGCCGCGCATAATTTGCATCGCGCATACATTTTGTGACTCACGTGATTGGAGGTCAAGGTGAACGCAGTCGACCTTTGCTTGGATGAAAATTCAAAATTCATGGCTCATGAATTACGTGATCGTCTTTTTTGCCGCGGTTCGATGGACGAGACGGCCCGTGGGCTTGACGCCGACCGGCCGCCCAGACTAAATAACAAACCGTTTCGTGGTTCCTCTCACACTTGTTGCGGAAGTACACTTTATTCATTCGAGATCCCAGTCGTACTTTTCACTTAATTGAAACTTTAAACAAGCTGATTTTGAAAACAGAGGGAGAATATCTACAGGAAATTATAAGGTATTTGTTTTTCTATCACTTTATTTAACTGAAAATTAGCTTCAAGTTATTAATTAAATTAAAAAACTTTCCAAATATCTCTTAAATTTTTAAAATTTTTAATCAAATACAATGAAACTTCTCAATTTGAATCAAAAAATTTTGTTTTTGAACTTTTACCTCTCGAACACAATTTTTTCAGGAGTTGCAAAACAATATTTTAAAATCAATGAATAATCTTGGAACGGCAGAAAATTTGAACGCTGATGTAAAATGCCATGGTGCATCTTTTGGCGATCTCGGATTTTTTGTCAGATTTCCTATTTTCAGAAAGAATAATACTATATATTTTAACCATTGACTAGGGTCTATAACCTTTAACCTAGAAATTTAGGAAAATATGACTTGGTTCATGAGCTTCCCACAAAGAAAATAAACAAAAAATCCAAATCAATTCAGCAGCGGTTTTAGCAAATCTTATTTATTTATGTATATTGACAGCGGCCGAATTGAAATTTTACGAATTAATTTCATTCATAATCATAATATCTTGATTTTATTATTTTTTTTTTGCAGAAATCGATATTACTTCAAAGAGCTTAAAAATTAGCCTGATTTTCTTGAGAAGTAGAAAATTATAAAAAAAATCACATTTTTAAATGTGATTTTTTTCTCACAAATTTATACAGTTCCGGTTATCAAAATGATTCTTATTGGCATAAACTATTAGTTTTTGTGGAGGATTTCGCTGCCCTGAGGAAGTTCCATCCTCTCTAATAAAAAAGAAAATCAGTTTATAAAAATTGACTGTATGAAAAGCAAAAATCAATGTTAAATGCGAGTGCAAGATTTCATCTTTTAACCATAAATTTTCATTATAATTTAATTACTTAACGTTAAAATAAATCAGTTCAAATGATCCCTCATTACCTGCTTGATCCTTTGAAACTTAAAAAAGCTTCTTTTGGGTTGCAGATATAAAGTGGCACTGATTTTATTGAATAAACAAACAATGAGATAGTCATGAAGTTGATCTAGTCCTTGAACTTGGCACATAACCATGAGAACAACCCTGGAATCGTGGTTGTTAGATTCTTCAAATGCAATCTATTGCCCACGCAATCGGCATTATTTTTCACCAGTGACGTCGGCTAAACCATAATTTTTTCCATTGGACGAGGGCAAATTAGACAATGGAATAGTTCGACGCAGAACCAAAACTGCACATTAAATTTTTACTGCCGAATTATTGCTGAAACTCTCTGCACGAGTCGAGAGCAAGTTTGCTTTTTTGAATTTATGTACGCGTCGGCTACTTTTTTTTTCAATTTAAAAAAAAAAATGTGTGTCCATCTGGCCGCGGCGCGCGAGGACTTTGACTCTAGCGAGAGGAGAAAAACGCGATGATCGCCGGCCGGGTCTGGTCAGCTGCGCGCAGGAGGCGGCGATTCCCTATAAATTTGTTTGCCGCCGCCGCCGCCGCAGCAATATTTTATGACCCTTGGTGCTCAACAGGTTTTCAACAATTGTAATTACACAATGGTCTACACGCGAAACTATTTATTACTACACAGAATCGCGGACGCGCCGATTAACCGCTTCGAAAAAATAATAAGTAACAAATATATAAAATATATGTACTCGTCGCTGCTGCCAATTCCAGTTTCATGATAGATAATCGCGCCAACGCCGCCGCCGCGTGCTGCACATGTACGGATAGTTTTTTGCGCCGGCCACGTGTAGCATTGTGTCTCGGGCTAAAAGTGCGCCCCACATTTGGCAGTTAAAACTTTTATTGCAAAGGGGTTTTGCTCAAAGTCGTAAAGTTACCCTTGCCGAATTATTTCAAACACAAATTGATGTTCGCAGAATCTATTCAGAGAAAAGAAGATTAGATTTAGCAGGGAATTATTTTTATTTATTTTTTCTCCTTCCACGAACTTCTCATTATTGTTGTCTGGAATCTGGCGGAACAATTTTGGATTTAAATTAGGCATTGGAAATCAAAGAACTTCAATAATCAATTAAAAATGTTTAATTACGCTTCAGATTTGTAGTTTTCATGGAAAAATACCAATTTTTTTTCTTATTATTATTAATTTCACGATTTATGGTTAATTTTTGGTGTTTAATTTGCAATTCATTTACTGCTTCAGTGTAGAAAAATACAAAATTTAAATCAACCGGCAAAATTTTTGAATTAAGCAGATAAAATGGCATAAAAATGTGATCTTGAAAAATAAATATTTACAAAAGAAAATCGAGCTAAGCCTACTTTGAGTCTTATATAGAGAGATTTTATTTGAAAAAGTCGCAGCTCGCACGAGACGCGTAAATACGATTCATGAACTCGATGCCGGCCGCGGACATAAATCAAGAGGCGGCTGCGCTGAAAAAGCTTCTCTTACTTTGTCGTACTGCGAAATTTTTTTCGTCGTCCGGGTATTTCGAGAAGTTAAGCGTTTGGCAAATTATAAATAAATATCGTTTTTTTTTTGCTGAATAAAAATGTACGCAATAGAAAAGAATGCGCGCGCGCGCAAGTGGTTTTCTAGTTATTCGTGCAACAAACTCGGACGCGGCGCAAAAACAAGGCGAATCTGAAGGCGCCGCCCGCTCGCCTCCTTTTTGCGCCGAAAATTCTTAGAAAGTGGTATTTTAACACGCATAGTAAAAAATTAAAGCCCTTCTCGCTGCTTTTTGCCCACATCCTGCTTATTTGCATCGCGCGCGCGGAATCAAAAGAAAAAAAAGCTCCAATCGATGAGTAATCTGGCGATTTCGCAGAATGGAATGGCGGATGTTTCAATCGGACAAAGCCAAAGGTTGCTTCAACTCTGACCTCGGCGCTGCCTGCACGATCAATCGCTGATTGTTCAATATAATATTATAATAAGCACCTGCAGGAGATGCTTTTCTCAGTCGCACTTTTTCAAGCACAAAACGCGTCTCTCGGCGTTGGAATTTCACGTCTTTCTCTCTCGTCGCCGCGGCCACATCGAGCTTTTCTCTTCCAACGAGCTTTTCGACGAGAAAATTCAAGTATTGTGTGTCAGCGGCCTCTTGTTGGTGAGGTGAAAAAAACCCCAATCAAATCAGAGCATTTTACAATAATTTAAACTGACTCAACGAATGATTGCAAATCGAAGCAAATTCAATTGCAGTTTACAGATTATAAAATCAGATTTTTGAATTATGAATTATAAAATTAATTTGAAACGATTTAAGTATCTGTGACTTTTTAATCAAGGTGGCAGAACTCAAAACAACCCCTTATTTTACTCTGAACTCAGAGAGTTGATTTGTAATGATTCCGAATTTACATATTTTACGTATTGAAAGGAAAATCGATCAATTCGCCAAAAAGAAATTGATTTAGAATATTGTAAAAAAAATTAACTGTGCAACAAATTATGATTCCAGAATCGTTGTAAATTTTAACGGAAAGAAAAGCCCCAATTCTTTGCTTGCAATTATAAAGTTTAATTTTGCTTCATTTGAACATTGTGCGATACGAAATGCAGATAATTGCTGCTCCTTAATTATATGATGCCTGCTTTGAAGACAATCACGGTGGTGGGGCGAAAAGTTCAGCCACGTGTGATTTTATTTGCGCGCGTTCTTTTAATGGCCCCTTGGATGAGAAATTTGGCCGAAATATATCAGCTCAACAATATCACGTTGCCATAAAAGTCGAGGCAGCCAAAAAATAAAAAATGAAGCGATCGGATCTGCGGCCGAAAATTGGCGCGACACGGGCCATCTCTAATCTTGACCCGCAGCGGCAGTTGCACCAGCAATTGTCGACCTGTTTTTGCCTCTGAGCGTGTTCTTGTGGAATTGAGCCGCAAGCAACACCCAAACACACACACACAATCTTCATTCAGCATTACTTTTTTTGGGCCTTTTAAAAAGGCCGAATCGGCTCCTGTTTCACACTCGCCTGTGGGAAAATAAATTATTATAATATTGCCCCGCGATCGTCAGGTTTTCTTCTAGACTCAATTGCGGTGGCACGCAATCAGCCAAACAGCTTCTTCGTCGTTTTTGAAATAAATCTGCTAAGAATAGTTCGCTAATTTACAAATATTCTACTAATTTTTTATTTTTTTTTTAAAACTATGAACAACTTTGAATAAAAATTTGAAAGGTTTAGGGAAGATCAAATAATATGATCAAATATTTTAAGATTTTGTTTGAAAATAAAATTTGATTGCATACTTTACAGGGACAACGAAATACATATTTTGCACGCTTGTCTAAAGAAATTAGAATTGAGGAAGTTAAAAAAAAATATATATTTGAAGGGTTAATTTTAAGGGCTCCAATTTTCGTCAAAGTTTTTAATTTTTGAACCAGTAAAATAATTACCATGGCCAATTCAGCAAACCCCTTAATTCCGTGTCTGAACAGGCCTATCAAGATGGTCAATGTGTCCATAAAAATCGTTTCTATCGTTTTTGAAAAAACAATTAGAACTAT